GTTTACCGACGGCGCACTGAATCCTGGGATACCCTCGGCCGAGAAGGATACACAGATGCATCCTTGGTTTTCGCCATTTTGTCGGCCGCATTCCTCGGCCGCATGAGGAGGAGTCTTCGGATTGGGACAGTCCTCCGTGCAGGGCAGTGACGTATGCCGCCGACAAATGCGTACTCACGAGGACCCAGCCCATGCATTGGGACACAGCGTAACTACTTTTCTGCACTCATGGAGATTCCAAGTACAACAAAATACTTAGCAGGTAAAGACAATTTTGCATATGTTCCCTTTAAGGTCTTGATTTTAAGACATTTTGATATGTTAAGGATGTGCAGACTAGGGCTGAACGATTTTGGAAAATATTCTAATTGCGATTTTTTTTTCTTTAAATTGCGATTTCGACTTAATATGCGATTATTATTTTTTTAATGTTGTCTCAAGTATTTTTCAACAAACAGAAGCAATAAATCAACCTGTTTCATAATAAACTAAGATTTATTTAAAGCATAGATCACACGAAAGCAAACAAATCTGTGGTCTGGACCAAACCTTTTCACTAACTCTAATTATTCTTGTTTCATGAAACGTTATATTAAAGATGTTAAGTGAAATTCCTAAACACTATCTGAACTTCACTGGACAGTCTATAAATAATTAGAAAAAAATATCTAGGTATAAAAAAATTAATCTTACTGCTTTCCAGACAGTAACATGAAAAAATAAAGTACAAAAAACATTAAGAGAATAAGCATCTGCTTTAAATAACTTATTTTCTTGGAAAACTCAAACTCAGTAAAAACAAAATAAACTAGTATATGTTCTTATTAAATCTTTGGATGTTAACAAAACTTTTTGAACATCAGTGTAAACATAACAGCCACTGAAAAAGGTCTGTAGTGTTACCTCGTGAGGCAGCAACAGTAGCGAGACGGGTGTTGCACGTTGCGCAGCGTCGTCTTTTTTTAAAGCCAGAATAATTCCACACAACTTATGTGCTGCCCCTCTTTGCTATTAAACGTTCAGTTGTGTCAGCTTCTGTCGAGTCTGAAGCCATTGCGGACGTGCGTCGGGGTGGCAAGCGCTGTCCGGGTGGCGCAGCTCCATGGTGACATCCACCTCGCCGCGGTTCCCGTGGACCCTCCCTGAGCCGCGGGGCTGCGGAGTGCTGAGCGGGTTGGTCGGTGGAGGGCGCGAAGACCGATGAGTGAGCTGCCCGAAGGAGGCGCGTTATAATTCAACAAGTTAAAACTAAAACGAAGCGACTCTCGCGCCATACTTCTCCCCCTGCCTCGCTCCGCCGCGCTGCTCACTCCCAAGTCACGTGACAGTCAAATCGCACCCCGCGCGATTAGAAAATCATGTTTTAACATATTGCGATATTATCGCAAATGCAATCAATCTTTCAGCCCTAGTGCAGACACCTTGTTAAAAAAAACAAGGGAAAAACAAAAAA